ACACACACACACACACACACACACACACACACACACACACACACACACACACACACACATACACTCACTCACTCACTCACTCACTCACTCACTCACTCACACACACACACACACACACACACACACACACACACACACACACACACACACACACACACACACACACACAGCCTATCACCTGTAAGACGAACTCTAAAGTCACCCACAAAGGTCACCCACAAAGGTCACCTGTAATGACACCTTTAAGGACACTCTTAAGGTCGCCTGCAAGAGCACCCGTAAGGACACTATACCGCCCCTCATGATAACAGCCACAGCTGCCCTGATTGATATCTTCCTTCGCCTCTTTGAGATAGCCAGAGGACCCCCCGCGGCCTGCACCTGTCTTCCTGACCTTGGAGCTAGAGGTCAACAGGTGTAGCTAGCAGGGGAGTGTGTGTGCAGGTGTAGCTAGCAGGGCAACAGGTGTAGCTAGCAGGAAAGTGTGTGTGCAGGTGTAGCTAGCAGGTCAACAGGTGTAGCTAGCAGGGAAGTGTGTGGGCAGGTGTAGCTAGCAGGGAAGTGTGTGCAAGTGTAGCTAGCAGGTCAACAGGTGTAGCTAGCAGGGAAGTGTGTGGGCAGGTGTAGCTAGCAGGGAAGTGTGTGGGCAGGTGTAGCTAGCAGGAAAGTGTGTGTGCAGGTGTAGCTAGCAGGTCAACAGGTGTAGCTAGCAGGGAAGTGTGTGCAAGTGTAGCTAGCAGGTCAACAGGTGTAGCTAGCAGGGAAGTGTGTGGGCAGGTGTAGCTAGCAGGGAAGTGTGTGGGCAGGTGTAGCTAGCAGGGAAGTGTGTGGGCAGGTGTAGCTAGCAGGGAAGTGTGTGGGCAGGTGTAGCTAGCAGGGAAGTGTGTGGGCAGGTGTAGCTAGCAGGGAAGTGTGTGGGCAGGTGTAGCTAGCAGGGAAGTGTGTGGGCAGGTGTAGCTAGCAGGGAAGTGTGTGCAGATGTAGCTAGCAGGTCAACAGGTGTAGCTAGCAGGGAAGTGTGTGCAGGTGTAGCTAGCAGGGAAGTGTGTGCAGGTGTAGCTAGCGTGGAAGTGTGTGCAGGTGTAGCTAGCGGGGAAGTGTGTGTGCAGGTGTAGCTAGCAGGTCAACAGGTGTAGCTAGCAGGTCAACAGGTGTAGCTAGCAGGGAAGTGTGTGTGCAGGTGTAGCTAGCAGGTCAACAGGTGTAGCTAGCAGGGAAGTGTGTGTGCAGGTGTAGCTAGCAGGTCAACAGGTGTAGCTAGCAGGGAAGTGTGTGTGCAGGTGTAGCTAGCAGGTCAACAGGTGTAGCTAGCAGGTCAACAGGTGTAGCTAGCAGGTCAACAGGTGTAGCTAGCAGGTCAACAGGTGTAACTGACAACGGAGTGTCAACAGTTGTATTTATCAGAGCTGAACAAACTTTGTTTTTCCTCAGCAAGTGGAGTGATCTCACTCAAGGGGCGTCCCTCACCCCCATTAACTCAAGGGGCGTCCCTCACCCCCATTAACTCAAGAGGCGTCCCTCACCCCATTAACTCAAGAGGCGTCCCTCACCCCATTAACTCAAGAGGCGTCCCTCACCCCAGTAACTGAAGAGGCGTCCCTCACCCCAGTAACTGAAGAGGCGTCCCTCACCCCAGTAACTGAAGAGGCGTCCCTCACCCCAGTAACTGAAGAGGCGTCCCTCACCCCAGTAACTCAAGAGGCGTCCCTCACCCAAGTAACTCAAGAGGCGTCCCTCACCCCAGTAACTGAAGAGGCGTCCCTCACCCCAGTAACTGAAGAGGCGTCCCTCACCCCAGTAACTGAAGAGGCGTCCCTCACCCCAGTAACTGAAGAGGCGTCCCTCACCCCAGTAACTGAAGAGGCGTCCCTCACCCCAGTAACTGAAGAGGCGTCCCTCACCCCAGTAACTGAAGAGGCGTCCCTCACCCCAGTAACTCAAGAGGCGTCCCTCACCCCATTAACTCAAGAGGCGTCCCTCACCCAAGTAACTCAAGAGGCGTCCCTCACCCCATTAACTCAAGAGGCATCCCTCACCCCATTAACTCAAGAGGCATCCCTCACCCCATTAACTCAAGAGGCATCCTTCACCCCATTAACTCAAGAGGCGTCCCTCACCCCCATTAACTCAAGAGGCGTCCCTCACCCCCATTAACTCAAGAGGCGTCCCTCACCCCCATTAACTCAAGAGGCGTCCCTCATCCCCTTAACTCAAGAGGCGTCCCTCACCCCAGTAACTCAAGAGGCGTCCCCCACCCCATTAACTCAAGAGGCATCCCTCACCCCATTAACTCAAGAGGCGTCCCTCACCCCAGTAACTCAAGAGGCGTCCCTCACCCCATTAACTCAAGAGGCGTCCCCTCACCTCATTAACTCAAGAGGCATCCCTCACCCCATTAACTCAAGAGGCGTCCCCTCACCTCATTAACTCAAGAGGCATCCCTCACCCCCATTAACATGCTAATCTTCCTCCAAGACGTAACCCACACCTGTCGCCCAAGGTCACGGGCACCTGTTGACTGACAGGTGAGCTGAGACACGAAGTGAAATCGTCCCTGCCCCCCCAAATCGTCTCCGTCTTGCCCAGGGATTAAAAACCCGGTTATGCCTCGGTTGCGAGCCCAGGACGTAGACTACTATGCTACAGGACCCCATGCGGAGACTCGTGTGTGTGTGTATTTAGCTCACACTCGAAGAGCCTTATACTGATAACGGCGAGTAATCAGAAGAGTTTGAATTCCCAACGAGCCGTTAGTTCCACGAATCACCATTTCCTGCTTCGCTGTTGTCGTTATTCGTGTGTGATCTGTGACGTGAAGAGGGGGAGTTTAGGGGGGTTGTTTAGGGGGTTAAAGGGGGGGGGGGTTGGGAGGGGGAAGGGGGAAGCAAGTTGGCCTGGGGTTGGTGGGGTGGCAAGATTGGGATGCTGGGGCTAGATTCACGAAAGCACTTACGCAAGTACTTACGAACGTGTACATCTTTCCTCAATCATTGACGGCTTTGGTTACATTTATTAAACAGTTTACAAACATGAAAACTTCCTATTCAACTGTTGTTATTGTTATAAACAGCCTCCTGGTGCTTCGGAGCGCATTAACTGTTTAATAATTGTAAACAAAGCCGCCAAAGATTGAGAAAAGATGTACAGGTTCGTAAGTGCTTGCGTAAGTGCTTTCGTGAATCTGACCCCTGGAGTCCATCATCTCCAAGATCTATAATCACGTGACAATCAGTCTTTTTAGTCTTGGAGGCGAGTATAATAATTCACATCTCAGAATGCATCGCGTTCCGTTGCTCTGAATGCCCATTGCATCGTAGGTGCCAATCTTTTCAACATCTCAACTTTTTCAATGAAAATCTACTGTTCGGACAGTGGACAGGTGCCCAACCACTTGTGGACGGTCGGGGGATTGAACGCCGACCTGCATGAAGCCAGACCGTCGCTCTACCGTCCAGCCCAAGTGGTTGGGCCGGGGGGGGGGTGGTCTGAGGACTAAGTAGTTATCAGAAGATAGCAATAAGCCAGGAAGAGTTATCAGGATCACTCATACACTATTCTTATCGTATAGTTGTATGGTGTCACTGCCTCATACACCTCATGTATGATGTCACTGCCTCATACACCTCATGTATGGTGTCACTGCCTCATACACCTCATGTATGGTGTCACTGCCTCATACACCTCATGTATGGTGTCACTGCCTCATACACCTCATGTATGGTGTCACTGCCTCATACACCTCATGTATGGTGTCACTGCTTCATACACCTCATGTATGATGTCACTGCCTCATACACCTCATGTATGATGTCACTGCCTCATACACCTCATGTATGGTGTCACTGCCTCATACACCTCATGTATGATGTCACTGCCTCATACACCTCATGTATGGTGCCACTGCCTCATACACCTCATGTATGGTGTCACTGCCTCATACACCTCATGTATGATGTCACTGCCTCATACACCTCATGTATGGTGTCACTGCCTCATACACCTCATGTATGGTGTCACTGCTTCATACACCTCATGTATGATGTCACTGCCTCATACACCTCATGTATGATGTCACTGCCTCATACACCTCATGTATGGTGTCACTGCCTCATACACCTCATGTATGATGTCACTGCCTCATACACCTCATGTATGGTGCCACTGCCTCATACACCTCATGTATGGTGTCACTGCCTCATACACCTCATGTATGATGTCACTGCCTCATACACCTCATGTATGGTGTCACTGCCTCATACACCTCATGTATGGTGTCACTGCCTCATACACCTCATGTATGGTGTCACTGCCTCATACACCTCATGTATGATGTCACTGCCTCATACACCTCATGTATGATGTCACTGCCTCATACACCTCATGTATGATGTCACTGCCTCATACACCTCATGTATGATGTCACTGCCTCATACACCTCATGTATGGTGCCACTGCCTCATACACCTCATGTATGGTGTCACTGCCTCATACACCTCATGTATGGTGTCACTGCCTCATACACCTCATGTATGGTGTCACTGCCTCATACACCTCATGTATGGTGTCACTGCCTCATACACCTCATGTATGATGTCACTGCCTCATACACCTCATGTATGGTGTCACTGCCTCATACACCTCATGTATGGTGTCACTGCCTCATACACCTCATGTATGGTGTCACTGCCTCATACACCTCATGTATGATGTCACTGCCTCATACACCTCATACACACTCTCACCATCTAAGAATACTTGTATCATCCCTGTTTAATATATATTCTTTGAAGTGTCTTAAGAGTTCGGTACGATGCGAAGTAGTTATTAGCGATATTCTTCAATTATTAAATTAATGCAGTTTCAGTATATAATTGTTAACATTATATGTTGCAATCCACACACATCCACACATCCATAGCCACCTCCAAACACGCAATAATAATTATCCAGGTGAACTAGGATTAGGTTGAAGAGGAGACTATAAGAGTGTGTCTCTGCAGGTCTTCAAGGTGGTGGTCCAGAGTGAGACGAAGTGCTGGTTCGTGCTGCGCTGCTACGACGAGTTCCTCATCCTTCAGGAGGTCATCAGAAGCAAGGTGAGAGCAAAAAGTGTTTGGAGCAGGGCGGAGGACTCGAACCTGCGTCCTGGGTGCGGTTTTGGTGCCATCGGACTGAGCCAAAATATTGTTTTTTCATAGTGTCACTTCGCCCAATATGCCACCAGGCGATCCACATGTACTTTGTTTTTTCTATATAATGATATATTTAGAGATTTATTCATTGTCTATTTACTAGCTCCAAATATTAGATTTAGTAGGTGTTAAGCTGCATCTTAAGACAGTCGTTAGGGAGTGTGCTGAGCCCCAGAGCATTGTCTCCTCAGGTTCACGATGCCGCGATCAGCCTGCCGGCCCAGGAGTCAGCTGACAGACAGCACCTCGACCGCTTCATCCAGGGCGTCATGGTCGAACCCCGCATTGTCGCGCTGTAAGTCCCTCGCCTTAGTGCTGTATCTGAACCCTTGCTTGACCTACATACAAGCTACTCCAGTCCAACGACCGTCTTACCAACGACTGTCTTACCAACGACTGTCTTACCAACGACTGTCTTACCAACGACTGTCTTACCAACGACTGTCTTACCAACGACTGTCTTACCAACGACTGTCTTACCAACGACTGTCTTACCAACGACTGTCTTACCAACGACCGTCTTACCAACGACTGTAAGACAAACACTGACTAATGTGTATTTTAATGTCAGTATATGACTTATGCAACTGGTAACAAACTGCCGACACATATTTTATATTTAACAACAAAACGACATTTTTTTTCACAAATTTATCTTTTTTGTATATTGTGGGTATGGGTAGGGTCAGACCTGGGTAGGGTCAGACCTGGGTAGGGTCAGATCTGGGTAGGGTCAGACCTGGGTAGGGTCAGACCTGGGTAGGGTCAGACCTGGGTAGGGTCAGACCTGGGTAGGGTCAGACCTGGGTAGGGTCAGACCTGGGTAGGGTCAGACCCAGCTAGGGTCAGGTCGGTGAGGTGGTCACGTGGACTTTCATGGGTCAGTTTCTTGTTTACACTAGAAGCTGGAAATGAATAAAACATTTCTAAGAGTCAAAGCTTCGAACACGGACAGCCGTATGATAAGTCCATCGCGTCCCCATAAAACCAACCGGTCTTCACACTAGGCTGGTTAAAGCAGCGGCCGTCCTCCCCAGACGCATTCATCAGTTTTAACATACTGTGTATTAAACATTGGTTTGTTCTCGTATATAAATCAATATTATACATACAAATTCTGTGAATAGTTAGGTGTAGGTTAGGTGTTTAGGTTCTGTTGGCGATTATTTGTATTTGTAGTACGTGGGTGAAGCATTTATAGAATTGTGCTTCGAACAAAAGTAAGTCGTGAGTGAAGCACTTGTTCCGGAAGTGTTCGAACGTCATCAGTTGTGAGTCGTGTGTAAACCGTTTTTCATTCATAAACAGGGTTTGGCGGGTAGTTATCTTGAGTTTATCTTGAGATGATTTCGGGGCTTTAGTGTCCCCGCGGCCCGGTCCTCGACCAGGCCTCCACCCCCAGGAAGCAGCCCGTGACAGCTGACTAACACCCAGGTACCTATTTTACTGCTAGGTAACAGGGGCATAGGGTGAAAGAAACTCTGCCCATTGTTTCTCGCCGGCGCCTGGGATCGAACCCGGGACCACAGGATCACAAGTCCAGCGTGCTGTCCGCTCGGCCGACCGGCTCCCGGATGGATGGAATTACTTTTGGACGGGCTGCCTAACCAGGTTCTAACTATTGCTTCACTTCCCTCCACAGACCTGAAGTTCGAGAGTTCCTGCAGCTGGAGCGGGGCCGGGAGTCGACCAGCAGCAGCAGCAGCAGCAGCGGGGGGTCGAGCAGCACCCACTCCGTCACCCTCGACCCCAACTTCCTGATGCCTCCCGGCGCCCCAGCCCCCGGCAGGTCGCTATATATTATCCTCACTTTAATAAGACTATCAAAATCCTCAGATTAGGCAAAATTGTAATTAATTTTGTCAATAAAGATGTTAATAATAATGCTATACTCCCACACACTCACAAATGTTCTTATTGACGTGCTCGATAAGTCCCTACATGCTCCACTCCCGCATTGGATATCCTTGTCAAGATTTCAAATCCTCTGCATAATTATCCTCAGACGTCCACGAAGGATATACATGCAAGATAACATAATTAAAATATATCGTAGTTTCGCCTAAGATGTATATAAATAGGGTAAATAAAATAGTGGCATCGTATAATTGTACTAAACACTCGGCTCCTCCACAGGAAACCTATTGCTATCAGGACGGGTAGTGACCCGGAGGAGGCAGTTAGCGCCGCCGGGGACAAGGGCGTCTCACAGACCAGCATCGCCCTCGGCTGCGCGGAGAAGAAGTCGTAAGTGTTTGACCGGATCTTTGGCTAGTACAAGTACCCCAGACAATTGGGGGTATCAGATTCGCGAAGCAGTTACGCAAGCACTAACGAACCCGTACATCTTTTGTTATTCTTTGGCGGCTTTGTTTACAATTATTAAACAGTTAATGAGCTCCGAAGCACCAGGAGGCTGTTTATAACAATAACAACAGTTGATTGGGGAAGTTTTCATGCTTGTAAATCGTTTAATGAATGTAACCAAAGCCGTCAATGATTGAGGAAAGATGTACACGTTGTTGACCAGACCACACACTAGAAGTTGAAGGGACGACCATGTTTCGGTCCGTCCTGGACCATTCTCAAGTCGACTGTCGACTTGACCATTCTTACAATCGACTTGAGAATGGTCCAAGACGGACCGAAACGTCGTCGTCCCTTCAACTTCTTGTGTGTGTGGTCTGGTCAACATACTTTAGCCACGTTATTGTGACTCATCGCCTGCCTGCATGTACACGTTCGTACTTGCGTAACTGCTTCGTGAATCTGGCCTCAGAACTTAAGTGAATGTACTAAGGAGAGGCGGGCTGAGGCGGCCACGGCACTTAATATGATCCTGATCCTCACGTCTCTGTCTCTCTGCTGACGCAGACTTACTCCGTCCGACTTCGAGTTCCTGACGGTGGTGGGCAAGGGCAGCTTCGGCCGGGTGATGCTGGCCAGGTACCTTCATGACCAGAAGGTCTATGCTGTCAAGGTCAGGCCCCCCCCCACCCCCTCCGGCCCATCCCAAATCCTCATCCTCATACCCCTTCCAAGTGCTATATAGTCATAATAGCTCGGTGCTTTCTCGACGGGCTCACCGTAGCCCGTGCTACATAGACACTTCGTTCTGAGTAACTGAATCTGAAACAACGGTGCTTTATCCTGATAGCTCCCCTTATACCTTCCCGCTGTCATTAACCTACCTCCCCCCCCCACCTCCACAGGTGCTGAACAAGCGACTCATCGTGCGGAGGAACGAGACGGCACACGTGCTGAGTGAACGGTCCGTGCTGATCAAGATGCTCAACCACCCGTACCTCGTGCAGCTGCACTTCGCCTTCACCACCACTCACAAGATCTTCTTTGTCCTCGACTACATCAATGGAGGCGAGGTACGCTCCCCCCCCCCCCCACCACGCCCCCTCCTTGTGTCTTAAATCTCAATGTTCCCGTGAAATACAGTCACAGTCATGATGAATATAGCCGTGAAATACAGTCACAATCATGATGAATATAGCCGTGAAATACAGTCACAATCATGATGAATATAGCCGTGAAATACAGTCACAATCATGATGAATATAGCCGTGAAATACAGTCACAATCATGATGAATATAGCCGTGAAATACAGTCACAATCATGATGAATATAGCCGTGAAATACAGTCACAATCATGATGAATATAGCCGTGAAATACAGTCACAATCATGATGAATATAGCCGTGAAATACAGTCCCAATAAGGCGGTACAGAGCCACGCGCGTGTAAATACAGGGAGGGTCACACCTCAGTCAACTCACTCTGTGCTGTTCCTCGGGGCAGCTCTTCTTCCACCTGCAGAAGGAGCGAGTGTTCCAGGAGTCTCGGGCCAGGTTCTACGCTGCGGAGATGTGCTGTGCCCTCTCCTACATGCACAGCCAGGTCAGTATACCCCTAGTATGTGATCACCAGCTAGGTCAGTATACCCCTAGTATGGGATCACCAGTTAGGTCAGTATATCTCGCGTATGTGATCACCAGTTAGGTTAGTATACCTCCCGTATGTGATCACCAGCCACGTCAGTATACCCCTAGTATGGGATCACCAGATAGGTCAGTATATCTCGCGTATGTGATCACCAGTTAGGTGAGTATAGCTCGCGTATGTGATCACCAGTTAGGTGAGTATAGCTCGCGTATGGGATCACCAGTTAGGTGAGTATAGCTCGCGTATGGGATCACCAGTTAGGTCAGTATACCTCGTGTATGGGATCACCAGCTAGGTCAGTATACCTCGTGTATGGGATCACCAGCTAGGTCAGTATATCCCTAGTATGGGATCACCAGCTAGGTCAGTATATCCCTAGTATGGGATCACCAGCTAGGTCAGTATATCCCTAGTATGGGATCACCAGCTAGGTCAGTATATCCCTAGTATGGGATCACCAGCTAGGTCAGTATACCCCTAGTATGTGATCACCAGCTAGGTCAGTATACCCCTAGTATGTGATCACCAGCTAGGTCAGTATATCCCTAGTATGGGATCACCAGCTAGGTCAGTATATCCCTAGTATGGGATCACCAGCTAGGTCAGTATATCCCTAGTATGGGATCACCAGCTAGGTCAGTATACCCCTAGTATGTGATCACCAGCTAGGTCAGTATACCCCTAGTATGTGATCACCAGCTAGGTCAGTATATCCCTAGTATGGGATCACCAGCTAGGTCAGTATATCCCTAGTATGGGATCACCAGCTAGGTCAGTATACCCCTAGTATGGGATCACCAGCTAGGTCAGTATATCCCTAGTATGTGATCACCAGCTAGGTCAGTATACCCCTAGTATGTGATCACCAGCTAGGTCAGTATACCCCTGGTATGAGATCACCAGCGGACCTTGGGGGGCTGGAGGGGGGGGGGGAAGGGTCATGACCCTTGACCTAACGTCTTGTCACCTGACCCTCGAACGATGTCTTTAAAACTTAATAATTCCTCACTCGAATTTTTCATAACTTTCTTATTTAACAATTGGAAGGATTAGGCAAACTATAGTCTCTATATCCTGCTATCCTGTGTACTTCTAACCTCCGCCCCACCCCCACCCCTTTCCCCCCAGCTTATCCAACCCCTTCTCCCCCCCCCCCCCACTCGCGTACTTATCCAACCCCCCTCCGTCTCAAGTGCTTATCCAACATTTGCTTCAAGCTTACTACCAAATTTCCATTCAAGTTGTTACCACAATAGACTTTTTTTTCCCCATAGTTCTGCTACCTTGTTAGCAACGCGGTGATATATATATATATATATATATATATGACTGAAAACTCACACCCCAGAAGTGACTCGAACCCATACTCCCAGGAGCAACGCAACTGGTAACTACAGGGCGCCTTAATCCGCTTGACCATCGCATATATATATATATATATATATATATATATATATATATATATATATATATATATATATATATATATATATATATATATATATATATATATATATATATATATATATATCCAATTTGAACACACACACACACACGGTTTCTTGGTTTGCCAGGATGGCCCTGGATATAATGGATATAAATGGATATAAATGGATATAAATGGATATAAATGGATATAAATGGATATAAATGGATATAAATGGATATAAATGGATATAAATAGGAACTTGCTTCATATAGGCCAATAGAACTTATGCTATTTTGTTTAATCTCATGTTCTTTAGGACACAGATAAATCCTTCATGTGAGTCTGTATAATGTAAAGAAGGCTTTCTTGATATCTTTCTCTCTTTATAAGTGAGGTAAAGACTGATATCTTACTGTGTATACTGTGAAGAGGACTTTTCATCGTAGCTATAACACAAGTGGAGGCTCACATGGCCAAGATAACACAAGTGGAGGCTCACAAGGGCAAGATAACACCAGTGGAGGCTCACAAGGGCAAGATAACACAAGTGGAGGCTCACAAGGGCAAGATAACACCAGTGGAGGCTCACAAGGGCAAGATAACACAAGTGGAGGCTCACAAGGCCAAGATAACACAAGTGGAGGCTCACAAGGGAAAGATAACACAAGTGGAGGCTCACAAGGGCACGATAACACAAGTGGAGGCTCACAAGGGCAAGATAACACAAGTAGAGGCTCACAAGGCCAAGATAACACAAGTGGAGGCTCACAAGGGCAAGATAACACAAGTGGAGGCTCACAAGGCCAAGATAACACAAGTGGAGGCTCACAAGGGCAAGATAACACAAGTGGAGGCTCACAAGGCCAAGATAACACAAGTGGAGGCTCACAAGGGCAAGATAACACAAGTGGAGGCTCACAAGGACAAGATAACACAAGTGGAGGCTCACAAGGGCAAGATAACACAAGTGGAGGCTCACAAGGCCAAGATAACACAATTGGGGGCTGACAAGGACAAGATAATACAAGTGGGGGCTGACAAGAACAAGATAACACAAGTGGGGGCTGACAAGGACAAGATAGCACAAGTAAGGGGCTGACAAGGATAAGATAACACAAGTGGGGGCTGACAAGGACAAGATAACACAAGTGGGGGCTGACAAAGACAAGATAACACAAGTGTTGGCTGGCAAGGACAAGATAACACAAGTGGGGGCTGACAAGGACAAGATAACACAAGTGGGGGCTGACAAGGACAAGATAGCACAAGTAAGGGGCTGACAAGGACAAGATAACACAAGTGGGGGCTGACAAGGACAAGATAGCACAAGTAAGGGGCTGACAAGGACAAGATAGCACAAGTGGAGGCTGACAAAGGCAAGATAGCACAAGTAAGGGGCTGACAAGGACAAGATAGCACAAGTGGAGGCTGACAAAGGCAAGATAGCACAAGTAAGGGGCTGACAAAGGCAAGATACCACAAGTGGAGGCTGACAAAGGCAAGATAGCACAAGTAAGGGGCTGACAAAGGCAAGATAGCACAAGTAAGGGGCTGACAAAGGCAAGATAGCACAAGTAAGGGGCTGACAAAGGCAAGATAGCACAAGTAAGGGGCTGACAAAGGCAAGATAGCACAAGTAAGGGGCTGACAAAGGCAAGATACAGCTAAAGAGTAACACAAGACAGGGGCCTCGTAGCCTGGTGGACAGCGCGCAGGACTCGTAATTCTGTGGCGCGGGTTCGATTCCCGCACGAGGCAGAAACAAATGGGCAAAGTTTCTTTCACCCTAAGTGCCCCTGTTACCTAGCAGTAAATAGGTACCTGGGAGTTAGTCAGTTGTCACGGGCTGCTTCCTGGGGTGTGTGTGTGTGTGTGTGTGTGTGGTGTGGGAGAAAAAAAAAGTAGTTAGTAAGTTAGTAGTTAGTTAGTAAACAGTTGATTGACAGTTGAGAGGCGGGCCGAAAGAGCAAAGCTCAATCCCCGCAAAAACACAACTAGTAAACACAAGACCTTCAATTACTGAAGCTTCTGTACATAAATCCCAATACACACAGAGATCACACTAACGTGATGCATCAAATGAACAAATACCCTGTCGTAGCTCAGTCGATTAAGGTAGTGTCTGGGATGCTCCCGGACGCAGGTTCGAATCCTCGTCACGGCCCTTGTGGATTTGTTAAATCCCAATACATAAATTAATTAATATCTGGTACCTTTTGTGTTCCTCTCCCGCTCTTTTAAATCTTATACAATCGTCAGCGTTGAACAGCGTCTGGCCAAGCGTCTGAACATATATTATCCGTCGTATTTGAACGTTTTTTTCCCACCGATTTACAAATGTTTCTGCTCACTCTTGTATGTAGATCATTAACACACGCGCGTCTGTTTACTGAAGGCAACGTTTGTGTGGTTACAGGGAATTGCTTGCGCGCTAAAACCTTTGTCTCCTAAGTCACCGTTTGTGTGGTTACAGGGGATTGCTTGCGCGTTAAAACCTTTGTCTCCTAAGTCACCGTTTGTGTGGTTACAGGGGATCGTTTACCGCGACCTGAAGCCGGAGAACATCCTGCTGGACGCTGAGGGTCACATCGTGCTTACAGACTTCGGGCTGTGCAAGGAGGGCCTTCAGTACTGCTCCTCGAAAACCGCCACCTTCTGCGGCACCCCGGAGTACCTGGCGCCAGAAATTCTCAAGAAACAGGTATGAGTTCTGGGCTCTTGGGTTGGATTGAGGCTCATCAACCGCCTGAGGGGTAATTAAGACCACCATATTAGTTGACCAGACCACACACTAGAAGGTGAAGGCTCACAATCGACTTGAGAATGGTCCAGGACGGACCGAAACGTCGTCGTCCCTTCACCTTCTAGTGTGTGGTCTGGTCAACTTACTTTAGCCACGTTATTGTGACTCTTCGCCTGCTCCACCATATTAGCTTACTTTAACAAAGAGAAAGCGCTGTATACTGTATACTAACTCTCAGTTTACATAGACTGAGAAGCTGAGTACATCTCTCAGTTGTATAGATGTCCTTGTGAGCACACCGTCCTTATCTCCAACACTTGTGCTTGTGGTGTTACGGACAGCGGACAGTACGCTGGACTTGTGATCCCGTGGTCCTGGGTTCGATCCCAGGCGCCAGCGAGAAACAATGGGCAGTTTCTTTCACCCTTTGCCCCTGTTACCTAGCAGTAAAATAGGTACCTGGGTGTTAGTCAGCTGTAACGGGCTGCTTCCTAGGGGGTGGAGGCCTGGTCGAAAACCGGGCCGCGGGGACACTAAAAAGCCCCGAAATCATCTCAAGATAACCTCAAGATAACAAGATGAGATAACCTTGTCAACGGTCACTGCTCTAGTTGACGCTCACATTCTCCTCCAAGGTGACATCCTTGTCGTACAATGACGTCACTCTGTCATTCATTGTATTTCCCCGAATATACTTGTATATCAGATTGATATCTTGGCTTGGAGGAGGTGTGGCCAGTCATCTGTTTCACGAGAGACCTGGTTTACCCCACAAGCAATATTTGTTTACATATGTAAAATGACAATTTGTTTACACTTTCTCCATTATTATTGATGGGTACGTCCTCGTCCTCAGCCGTACTCCCGGGCCGTGGACTGGTGGACTCTGGGAGCCGTGCTGTACGAGATGATGTACGGCCTACCGCCCTTCTACTCCAGAGACACGCCGGCCATGTACGACGCCATCATCAACAAGCCGCTCAAACTCAGGAATACCATCAGCCTCAAGGCCAGAGATATACTCCAAGGGGTAGGTGTATATATATATATATATATACACACCGCCTCCATGCTATCCTCACCACACTATAAACATTACATGTGCGGCTCGCTGGTGGGTTTAGGGCGCCCTATTAACCGCGGGAGAGCTGTTAGGGGCTAACATAATATCTTACTGACCATAGTCCAGGGCTAAATAAACCTCTCGGTGTATATTTAGAGCAGAAATAGAGCATGTGTATGTATATGTGTGTGTGTGTGTGTGTGTGTGTGTGTGTGTGTGTGTGTGTGTGTACTCACCTAGTTGTGCTTGCGGGGGTTGAGCTTTGGCTCTTTGGTCCCGCCTCTCAACTGTCAAGCTACTAATGTATATGTGTATTCACGTAGTTGTATTCACCTAGTTGTGTTTGCGGGGGTTGAGCTTTGCTCTTTCGGTCCGCCTCTCAACTGTCAATCAATCAACTGTTACTAACTACTACTAACTATTTTTTTTTCATTCTCACACATACACACCCAGGAAGCAGCCCGTAACAGCTGTCTAACTCCCAGGTACATATTTACTGCTAGGTAATAGGGGCGTCAGGGTGAAAGAAACTCTGCCCATTTTTGTTTCCGCCGGCGCCGGGAATCGAACCCCATACTACACAACTACGTATTAAGCGTGCTGTCCACTCAGCCACCAGCGCCCCTGTGTGTATGTGTGTGTGTTTACTATTTGTATTTAATATTTATATCTGCAGAATCGAGCTATTAGTTGTTGGACTCCGCCTTCCTAACCAATGTATTTTTCCTCTATTATGTCTACTATATATATTTCTCACTAATACACACACACACACACACACACACACACACACACACACACACACACACACACACACACACACACACACATCCTCAGAAAGCAGGCCGTAGCAACTGTCTAATTCCCAGGTACCTATTTACTGCTAGGTGAACAGGGGCATCAGTGTGAAAGGAAATCAGCCCCTTTGTTTCTGCTTCTGCCGGGGATCGAACCCAGGGCCCTTAGGATTACGACCCCCGAGCGCTGTCCACTCAACCATGTGTGTATATATATGTACTCACCTATTCGTGCTTGCGGGGGTTGAGCTCTGGCTCTTTGGTCAGGCAGCTGTCTGTGTGTATATGTGTGTGTGTGTATATATATGTGTGTATGGAGCCAGATGGTGACCTCTCATCTTCGGCAGCTGCTGCAGAAGGACCCGAAGGACCGGCTGGGAGCCAGCATCAATGACGGGGAGGAGGTCAAGAGCCACGAGTTCTTCAAGACTATAGACTGGGACTTGGTGGCCAGGCGCGGTGTCCGCCCGCCCTTCTCCCCCACCGTGGTGAGCTGCTCTCTTGTCTCTCGCACTTGCTTTTAGTCAATATTGACTTATTTAATAAGTGCATATGTGACATACTAATTGATTGTGAATATTTTAGTTTACCTTGAAAAGCTTCATAGAAAACACCGACCTCACCTAACCTTCTTAGTATGTTAAGATAAGCATCTTATTGCTTCTTATTTACAATTATTACTTAACCTATCAACGGTAATAATTGTAATTCTTGTGTGTGTGTCTGTCACACACACTGGCTTGTGTTTTACGCTCAACTAACACAACACTAGCGTGTTAGTTGAGTCGACTACACTAGTGTGTTAGTTGAGTCGACTACACTAGCGTGTTAGTTGAGTCGACTACACTAGCGTGTTAGTTGAGTCGACTACACTAGTGTGTTAGTTGAGTCGACTACACTAGCGTGTTAGTTGAGTCGACTACACTAGTGTGTTAGTTGAGTCGACTACACTAGTGTGTTAGTTGAGTCGACTACACTAGTGTGTTAGTTGAGTCGACTACACTAGTGTGTTAGTTGAGTCGACTACACTATTGTGTTAGTTGAGTCGACTACACTATTGTGTTAGTTGAGTCGACTACACTAGTGTGTTAGTTGAGTCGACTACACTAGCGTGTTAGTTGAGTCGACTACACTAGTGTGTTAGTTGAGTCGACTACACTATTGTGTTAGTTGAGTCGACTACACTAGTGTGCAAGTTGAGTCGACTACACTAGTGTGTTAGTTGAGTCGACTACACTAGTGTGTTAGTTGAGTCGACTACACTAGTGTGTTAGTTGAGTCGACTACACTAGTGTGTTAGTTGAGTCGACTACACTAGTGTGTTAGTTGAGTCGACTACACTAGTGTGTTAGTTGAGTCGACTACACTAGTGTGTTAGTTGAGTCGACTACACTAGTGTGTAAAGAAGACAACACTAGTACACATGTTACAAAGTCTACAATAGCATGTATGCTAGTGTAGACTAGTGGGTACACCGCACTCATCCTGTGAGGGGTCGCCCAAAAGCGTTACTGAGTCTACAAATGATGTTAACCAGACCTCAGCTAGTATTTAACAGTAGCGTTTATAATTTATCTGCACATAATCTGTATATATTAAAAACAATATTTGTTTGTCCGTTCGGGGCTGAAGGCCAGACGCTTGGGGCTAGCCTCTCTAAACCTTGCAGGACGACTGCTTTTGGTTCGAGGACGGTCATAGGCGTGTTGGGGAGGGCTAATTTCCAATCTCTATAAATATCCGAATCCATCCTCGCTATGATTCAATCGCGATGATTGTAGATTGGGTACCCGGCAGTGCCAGGGAAGTGACGATGATTACAGTGATGAGGATGATGTGTGTGTGTAGTGTAGATGCATGTATAGTGACACCCCACGCCGGGTACCTCTTATAGTGAATTATATTATTAAAGCTAGTAGCAAATGTCATGCATTTAAACTTACCCCAGACCATAATGGGTGTGTCCTCCCCCCTCCACAGGACGGCGAGGCGGACACCCGGAACGTGGACCCCATGTTTACGAAGGAGGCGGTGCTGGGGCACTCCCCAGCCTCCCCCAGCGGCCTCTCCGCCTCCGTGCAGGCCGTCGACCACGTCTTCCAGGGCTTCAGCTACGCCCCGCCGCTTGAGTTTGACGCGCAGTGACGAGCCCGGACCTGAGGCAGAGGTTGAAGTGCTCTGTGATCCTGGGACCGAGTGACAAGATGCCGCCGCCACTGGGCTCTGGATCGAGTCCAGCTCTCTGGATCAAGTCCAGCTCTCTGGATCAATTCCAGCTCTTTGGATCAAGTCCCGCTCTCTGGGTCAAGTCCAGCTCTCTGGGTCAAGCCCAGCTCTCTGGGTCAAGTCCATGCAGCTCTCTGGATCAAGTCCAGCTCTCCGGATCAAGCCCAGCTCTCTGGGTCAAGTCCATGCAGGTCTCTGGATCAAGTCCAGTTTCTCGTTGGTGCACGCAACAAATCGCCAGGCAGCAGTGCACCTGAGGATGAGTAGGACTTACCAGACCAAGTATGGTAAGTCGAACACAGTGGTGTGGCGCTGCGCTAACACTGTAAACGAAGCTCTGAACCTCTAACGAATACGTTTTTCGTAACACTCACACGAGTTGGAGAAACTTTTAGCCCCCTTCCCCCTCCTACACCCTCCTACACACCCCTTCCCCCCTTCCCCCCCACCTCTTACACCCCCCCTCCCCCCTACCGAAAAAAAAGACATAACGTATCTTAAGACATGTCGCGAAATTAAGACTTTTCGTGGATTGTAAAGTTTGTACTGACTTGAAAGAGCTTGGTGCTGTCTTACGTCTGGTCAGCTTAACTGATTAATACAGCTGTTGTTGTTGTTGTTGTTGTTGTTGTTGTTGTTGTTTTTGTTTTTGTTGTTGTTGAATACATAAACCAGTGACGACAAGGGTGTCCAACACGGGTGAGAACACAACAGTGCCTCTGGGTCCACACAGCCCGCCCTCACACATCAAGTCCATTCCATCCAGCGGTCGACCCCCCCACAGACGGATTCATCAACTATAACAAGCTCTTCATTCACAGTAGGAATTTTCTCGAATATATATTAACATTGCTATATATTAGCATATTGTGCATATTTAGGCACTGGTTAGGTTAGGTGTTTAGGTTCTGTTGGCGATTATTTGTATTTGTAGTACGTGGGTGAAGCATTTACAGCGTTGTGGTTCGAACAAAAGTCGTCAGTGAAGCACTTGTTCCGGAAGTGTTCGAACGAAATCAGTTGTGAGTCGTGTGTAAACCGTTTTTCATTCATAAACAGGGGGGGGGGGGGTTTGGCCGGATGCATGGAATGGACTTTGGCTTTTTTGTTTATAAGAACGGGCTGATCCACGAATCTGTTGTGTTCGGTTGTCTACACCTACCCCCCTCCCCCCACTCCCCCATCGAGCCCAATCCCCTCCTCCCCTTCTCTGGAGCAGACTGATGGGTCCATATGTCACAGACTCACAGTGTAATCAGCAGTGTTGCAAGACAGACTGTTGCATAGTGTCCTAACTCGCCTTGTGTCTGATATTATTATTATTTACACTGACGAAGAGGGTTCGTCTCTTCCTGTGATTAAATGTACAACTGAACCGATTGGATTTTCCATTGGTCAATTGTACGTAGGTGTCAATATGTGTGTGTGTGTGTGTGTGTGATTATTCTGTCCAATAAAGTATTTTTCAGATTATTCGTGTATGTTTTACCTCCGGTAAAGATTAAACGCTGGTCACGGGTCCCGTGTCACAGGTGGTCACGGGCCCTGTGTCACAGGTGGTCACGGGTCCCGTGTCACAGGTGGTCACGGGTCCCGTGTCACAGGTGGTCACGGGTCCCGTGTCACAGGTGGTCACGGGTCCCGTGTCACAGGTGGTCACGGGCCCTGTGTCACAGGTGGTCACGGGTCCCGTGTCACAGGTGGTCACGGGCCCCGTGTCACAGGTGGTCACGGGTCCCGTGTCACAGGTGGTCACGGGTCCCGTGTCACAGGTGGTCACGGGCCCCGTGTCACAGGTGGTCACGGGTCCCGTGTCACAGGTGGTCACGGGCCCCGTGTCACAGGTGGTCACGGGCCCCGTGTCACAGGTGGTCACGGGCCCCGTGTCACAGGTGGTCACGCCCCCCCCCCCCCCCTGTCACTGGGGTGCGTGGCGAATTATCAAGAAGGAACACCTTATAGCTGTAATTTGCACTCGAGGGAGTTGCTTCACCAGAGTGTGTAGTACCTAACTTTCACTCGTCTTCCTTAACCAGCAGGTAATTCAGGCCTACCTGTTGGTCCCGAGTACACTCTCTCAGTGTTCTTAGCTCAGTAAATGTTCACTCTCAGTGTTCCTAACCCAGTAAATGCTCACTCTCAGTGTTCCTAACTCAGTAAATGCTCACTCTCAGTGTTCCTAACTCAGTAAATGCTCACTCTCAGTGTTCCTAACTCAGTAAATGCTCACTCTCAGTCTTCCTAACTCAGTAAATGCTCACTCTCAGTGTTCCTAACTCAGTAAATGCTCACTCACGGTGTTCCTAACCCAGTAAATGCTCACTCTCAGTGTGCCTAACCCAGTAAATGCTCACTCTCAGTGTTCCTAACTCAGTAAATGCTCACTCACGGTGTTCCTAACCCAGTAAATGCTCACTCACAGTGTTCCTAACCCAGTAAATGCTCACTCTCAGTGTTCCTAACCCAGTAAATGCTCACTCTCAGTGTTCCTAACTCAGTAAATGCTCACTCTCAGTCTTCCTAACTCAGTAAATGCTCACTCTCAGTGTTCCTAACTCAGTAAATGCTCACTCTCAGTGTTCCTAACTCAGTAAATGCTCACTCTCAGTGTTCCTAACTCAGTAAATGCTCACTCTCAGTGTTCCTAATTCAGTAAATGCTCACTCTCAGTGTTCCTAACTCAGTAAATGCTCACTCTCAGTGTTCCTAACTCAGTAAATGCTCACTCTCAGTGTTCCTAACTTAGTAAATGCTCACTCTCAGTGTTCCTAACTCAGTAAATGCTCACTCTCAGTGTTCCTAACCCAGTAAATGCTCACTCTCAGTGTTCCTAACCCAGTAAATGCTCACTCTCAGTGTTCCTAACTCAGTAAATGCTCACTCACAGTGTTCCTAACTCAATAAATGCTCAATTTAAATGCTCCCAAAATCTCTCGCCTTCTGTATTTCCGGCAGGCAGAGCAGGAGTAATGATGCTGATTATTATGTTAACTTTAACATGCAAACAACATGATAAATTATTATGTTAAAACCTCCAAAGGAAAGAAATGATCACAAGCATGTGTCATTACTCCTTAACTATCCCTTGCAATTAAGCTTAAACTCCTTAACCTCTGCAACAACAACTTATCTATAACTGATACTGATCCACATTAATCGCATTCATTAGTCACTGGGCTTCTTGTTCGGGTCACTTGGGCTGGATGGTCGAGGCTACAAGAGGTAGAAAAATCGGAGAAATATATATTGATTGTCCGTCAAATTGCCTACTACACCTACAAGGATAATTGTCAAGTGCTCAGTAAATCACTCGTCTAAATGGTATTTAGACGAGTGATTCTTTATTCTCAGCGAGTATCCCCCTATTAAGTTTACAGTTTACCAACGCAGCGGCTGTACACTGAGCGTGGAGGAAAAGCTAAGTTTTCCTTATCTTGTACGTTTTCTCTAAGAATATAGAAAACGCAAGGATAGGAATAACTTTACTGGAATGAATTTGAAAGGCATTAAATTGATTTCGTTTTTAAATTTAGATCACCATGTAACTGGTAAACAGAGAAATAAGAATGAACGAGAACTTGCAAGGATATTTTTCCCTTAGAGAGCATCCTTGGTGACTCCTGTCATGATCTGTTGTTCACTTACTCTTACTCTTAATTTTGCTTAAAATCACATCATTCCTCACTGAACATTACACACAGAGATCACACTAACATGATACATCAAATGAACAAATCCACAAGGGCCGTGACGAGGATTCGAACCCGCGTTCGGGAGCATCCCAGACACTGCCTTAATCGACTGAGCTACGACAGGGTAAAAAGAGTTGAAACCGAAGTTCTACTGCACTTGCTGGATCCCGTAGCCTCTCCGAGGCACAAACCAGGATTTTACACAACTCCCCCCTGCACCCGAGCTATGTCAATAGACCCTTCTCCCTCTTCGCCCTTACATCATTACACACTCAGTCGATTAAGGCAGTGTCTGGGATGCTCCCGGACGCGGGTTCGAATCCTCGTCACGGCCCTTGTGGATTTGCTCACTGAACATGTTCTCCCTACACCGCCCCACGGGTGCAGCTGCATGTGCAGTTGTCCTGACAATGGGCGATGGCTTATATTTTGAGTGGGGGAGTCCGTATAAACAACTGGGCCTCTACCCTTCAGACTGAACTATTTCCCTTGCTTCTTGCACTGAAATGTGAAGAAGTCTGCAAAAATGATTCATTATTTGTAAGTGACTCTTTTATCATCATTAATTGCTCTCAACTCTTTAAGACATAACTGTAACATGCTCGTGTCCGAAGCTAGACACAAATACAACAAAATTATTAATGATAGTAACAGAGTCCATTTCATGTGGACTCCATTTCATGTTGGCCTCCGAATGCATGATAGAGCTGATGAGTTAGGCAATAAATCTGCTGTTAAAGGAGAAATTTAGCATAACTTACAATTCTACAGCTTCTTTCAAATGGCTTCCACAACTTGAAAAAAGGTGTGAAAGCCACCTATATGCGGAACTTTAAAGCCAGATTCAACGAAGATTTTGAGCATCAGAATAATTAAACTTTAAACGCAACAGTTACATCAAGGTTAGTAGACTGTCCAGGATGTCCTCTCGAGTAGTAAATCGCATTATTTTGACGCATAAATTCCTCAATGCCAAACATATTATGTTACTAAAAAATTACCGCGACTCGCAAAACTAAGGTGACGTCCCGTTTTCTATTCGTGGGAGGGGGTCCTCGATTAGGTTTGGTTCTACCTATTTAATGCATTCCAGCGTTATGAACGCTCGAGAGGACGGAGTGCATAAAGTGCTAGCCCGCACCCCCCCCCCTACCCCTCGTAGTCCTATAATAACTAAGTACGCGCATGCGCTAGTGACGTCACTGCGCATGCGTGACGTCACTAGCCCTCCATTTTGTGTGGTGGTAAACACGACGAGGGAGCGAAATAGTGTTGACTATTTTGATTCCATTACAAATGTTTATCCTCCCCGTAGCCGCGTGTTGTAATGATAATCTGTCAGTGTAGGGAATTATCTGTTGTGTGTATGCATTTGCTTGCGGGTTTTGTTGGTTTTATCCCTTCATAAACGTGTCATGGTTGATGCTGTACCTAATGGTATTAGCTTGGTCCACGGGCGAGTACCTTTGTTGGGCAGAGTGGGGGGGGGGGTTGAAGCTGTATGGGGGGGGGCAGGAGGGGGGGCAGAGGGGGAGAAGCTGTATAAATGTGAATGTACATAAATATGTTATGTTAAATAAAAACATACCCGGGGCTTTGTAATTACTTTGTTCTTTGTCATGTTCACGAGAACAGCCTCATAGTACACGCAAAGTTGGCCAGTGTGGACTACTAACCCCTCCCCCCCCATGGCTCACCATCGTGCCAGATGATGAGGTTTGGCATCCCATAACTACCCGACTCTTGCCACAAACTGCATGACTCTTTATCAACCCGTTCTCGCAAATTTAATAAGTCAATATTGACTTATTAAATATGTGCATAGGTGACATACTTAACATAATAGTTTCCCTTGAAAAGCTTCATAGAAAACACCGACCTTACCTAACCTATTTAGTATGTTAAGATAAGCATCTTATTGCTTCGTAATTACAATAATTACCTAACCTATACCTATAATAGGTTAAGTAACAATTGTAATTACGAAGCTATAAGATGCTTATTTTAACATACTAAGTAGGTTAGGTAAGGTCGGTGTTTTCTATGAAGCTTTTCAAGGGAAACTATTATGTTTAGTATGTCACCTATGCACGCAACTAATAAGTCAATATTGACTTATTAAATTTGCGAGAACGGGTTGCTCTTTATACAGATTCAGGCGACTACATCAATAGTTCACCTAAATATATTATTTAAAAAATCTAGTGGAGCTGAGGAGGAGGAATATGATATATGTTGGGCGGAGGTGGAATATTTCCTGCCATATGTGTGCTAGCAGGATCGAGCT